ATAAAATTTTGCTTTCAAATGCTTAACTGATACAGAAAGTGGAAAAGGCAGGAATACCTCCAATTTCATTGTAATAGCATCAGCATCATTCATAATACTAAAACTAGACTGAAAATACTACAAAACAAAAACTACAGAGCAGAACTCCTCTTGAACATTGATGTAAAAATTCTAAACAAAAATTTAGCAAATTATATTCAACAGTATATATAAAGTATAAATGTATTATGACTAGGTGGTGTTTATTCCAGGAATGTAAGGTTAATTTAACATTCAAAAATTAACATGTTATTACCATATTAGCAAGCTTTAAAAGTTAAAACTATATGATCTCAATAGATGGAGAAAAAATATTTGCCGAAGTCCAACATCAATTCTTGATTTTTAAACTTTCCTCAAACTATTAGGGGCACCTATGAAAAACTGAGAGCTACCATTATATTTAATGGTGAATGACTAAATTCTTTTTTCTAACATTAGGAACAAGAGAAGAATGTGTCCTCTTTATCCCTTCTTTTTCTCTGTTGTTCTTTAGATTCTAGCTAGCACAGTAAGTAAAAAGGAAAAGAAGTAAAAGGTATCCATTGTGGAAATGTAGAAGTAGACTGTCTTTTTTACAGACAACATTATTTTCTGTAGAAATTTCGTGTAGAAAATATGTTGGAGTCTATGAAAAAGACCAAACGTAGATTTAACAAGGTTCCATGATACAAGATCAATATAAAAGAATTAGTTCGGCCAGGCCCAATGGCTCACTCCTATAATCCCAGCACTTCGGGAGGCTGAGGCTGAGGCTGATGGATCACAAAGTCAAGAAATAGAAACCATCCTGGCCAACATGGTGAAACCCCGTCTCTACTAAAAAAAAAAAATACAAAAATTAGTTGGGTGTGGTGGCCCACACCTGTAGTTTCAGCTACTCAGAAGGCCGAGGCAGGAAAATCACTTGAACCTGGGAGGTGGAGGTTGCAGTGAGCTAAGATTGCACTGCACTCCAGCCTGGAGACAGAGCAAGACTCCATCTCAAGAAAAAGCATCTTATTTTTATATACAAGTAATGAATAAGAGTTGAATTTGTTTTAAAAAAAAAAATGCATTTTCATCAAGCAGATGGTGCACACCTGTAGTCCCAGCTACTTGTGAGACTGAGTTAGGAAGATTATATGAAACCAGGAGTTTGAGTCCAGCCTAGGCAATGTAACAAGACCCCATCTCTAAGAAAATTAAATTTGAAGAAATCTCATTTTCTATAGCATCAACAAATAGGAAATTCTTAATAAATCTGACAAAATATATAATACACCCTATATAATGAAAACTATAAACTATTGCTGAGAGAAATTAATCAAGAACTAATTAAGTGGAGAGAGACATAAACAGAGTTGAGTGGAAGACTTAATGTTGTTAAGATACCAGTTCTCCCCAAATGGATATATACATTCAGCACAATGTCATTGTAAATCCCCAATGTCTTTTATCATAGAAATGGACAAGCTGATCCTAAAGTTCATTTGGGAATGCAAAATATCAAGAAAAACTACAAGGGTATTAGAATAGAAAGGTAATGTGGGATGGTTAACACCACCTTATTACGACTTTTTTATAAAGCCTCAGAAATCAGGACAGTTTGTATTTGCTTAATGGTAAACAAATAGATGCATGGTACAATAGCATCCACACATAGACCCACACATTTATGGACGACTGAATTTTGACAGATTTAGAAAGGTAATTCTGTGGAGAATGGACAACCTTTTCAAAAATAATTCCAGACCAATTGTTTGCCCATATGCAAAACAAAACAAAACAAAACAACTTTATACCTGACAGTATATACAAATGAGTCAGAACCCTAAATACAAAGTATAAAACTATAAAACTTATAGAAGAGAAAATGGGGGAAGTCTTTGTAACCTTGAAATGGGCAAAGATTCCTTAATATGATACTAGAGCACATTCTACCAATGAAAAACTGATTAATTGACTTCACCAAAATTATAAACTCCCACGAAGTGAGGGAAAATACAAGCAAAAGGATTTTTATCTAGAATATGTAGTGCACTCTCAAAAGTCAGTAAAAGAAAACAACTCAGAAATACAGGCAAAAGGCATGAACGGAAACTTCACCAGAGGCAGTGTACATATGGCCGATAAGTACATGAAAAGATGGTCAACATCATTACAATAGGGAAATGCAAATTAAAACTGTAAGGAGGCTGGGTGCCATGGCTCACACCTATAATCTCAGCATTTTGGGAAGCCAAAGCAAGAGGATCGCTTGAGCCCAGTAGTTTGAGACCAGCCTGGGCAACGTAGTGAGACCTCGTCTCTACAAAAATAAAAAAATTTGCTGGATGTGGTTGTATACCCCTGTAGTTCCTGCTCTTCAAGAGGCTCAAGCGGGAAAATCACTTGAATGAGCCCCAGAGATTGAGGTTGCAGTGAGCTGTGTTTGCACCCCTGTAATTGAATCTGGGCAACAGAGCAACCTTGTCTCCAAAAAACCCACAAAAACTTGGTATACCAAGTGTTGGTGAGAATATGGAGGAACTATAATTTACATGTACTACTGGTGGAAATGTAAAATACTATGCTTAGTTTGGAAAACACTTTGGCAGTCTCTTAAATAAAAGTCAGACACCTATCAGGTGAGCCCATCTTTCTACTTGTAGTATTTATCTCAGGAAAAAAGCATATGTCCATGCAAAGAATTATACAGTCTTCATGCAACTAAAGAATGTTATCAGCTTTTCTGTACAGCCAAAAACTGGACCACAATGCAAATGTCTCATCAACATGAGAGAGGATATTGTGGGCCATCTCTTCAGTGGGATACTAGATAACATTAGAAAGGAGTTAACTGTTGAAACATGCACCAATCTCAAGGTAGTTACGCTGTGTGAAAGAAACCATACACACAGTAGTACATAACTGTATCTATTCCATTTATTTAAGACTCCTGAAATTACAAACTGTTGTAGCAAAAAGTAGGTCATGGAGGGATGGAGTGGTGGGAGGAAGGAATTGGGAAGGGTCACAAAGAAATTTGGGGATGTGATAGATAACACTGTCTTAATTGTCGTTGGGTTTTCATGGGTCATGAAAACAAAAATGTAGACTCCATATGCAACTTCAGGCTGTAACTTTAAATATATGTCAAGGTATACATTTTAAATACGTGCAGTCTATTTTAAGTCAATTATATCTCCATAAGGCTGTTTAAAATACAGCATGATAGCGGGGACTCACAAATTAAAAGAGACTTAAAAGACAGAGCAGCCAAACGCAGTGTATGGATTTTGTATCTTGATTCAAACAAGCCAGCTACTGAAAGACATTCTGTAGACCAGGGAAATTGTAGTATAGGGTGAGTATTGGATAATGTTGATTAATCATTGTTACTTTCGTTAAGAAAGACAATAGCATCTTAACAAAAGCCCATCTCTATTAGAGTTGACAGAGTGTTGCCCTGTTGCCTAGGCTGGAGTGCAGTGGTGTGATCTTGGCTCACTACAACTGCTGCATCCGGGTTCAAGTGATTCTTCTGCTTTAGCCTCCAGAATAGCTGGGATTACAGGTGCGCACCACCACACCCTGGTGATTTTTGTATTTTTAGTAGAGATGGGGTTTCACCATATTGGCCAGGCTGGTTTCGAACTCCTGACCTTGTGATCCACCCACCTTGGCCTCCCAAAGTGCTGGGATTACATGTGTGAGCTACCATGCCATCTGGAAGGCTTTATTAAATTATTCTCTGTTCTTTTATATATTTAAAACTTTCCCCTAAATTTTTTTTAAATATTTTCTATGGGTCTTTAACATTCTTAAGGTCTCTGTTGTTTTGGTCCCCACCTTGCTCTGTCAGGAGTAGCATCTGCCTTTTCCCACAGTGTAGGGCCTGGTTGTGTCTAGAGTGACCTTCTCCCCAGTGTGCCTGGGACAGTCTCAGTTTGTGCCCCTTGTCCCAGTGTGAATGTTCCTAGGGCCCTCTGATTCACAAAGCTTTCTAATTTGAACAGGAAAGCAGATGCCCACCTTAATTTTCTTCACATACCTGTGCTTTATACCTACTTGTCTTTATTAGATTATTTCTTTGCCTGGAACCCCCTCCTAACCCTACACCTTTCCTATTCCAGTTTCGCAGACCTTGACTTCTCAAGACCTTCGCTGATGTTCCTCCCCATCTCACCCCACCCCTCCTAGTCACCTCCTCTGCGCTGCCACCCTGCCTGGGGCGTGCTCAAGGGTATACCATTATCGGAACTGTTCCCAGTTCAGTGAGCTTTTCAAGGGTAGGGATCTACCACCTCTTCATCTTTGGGTTGTTGGTGCCAAGCAGTGGATATTGCCTAGCAATATCTGGAAGAATTGTATAAATCCAGCCTTGGAGATTCTCTTACCTCACCCTTAGAGAGAAGGAAAATAGCTCAACTCTGGAAGATAAAGGCATCTTCCTAGGATTACAGAGGATAGTATAACAGAGCCAGAAGTGGACCTGTGACACATTCCTTCTCTTCACACTTGATGATGTGATAAGCAATTTCGAGAAGCAATCATGGGTTCCCTGTACTAACTAAGACAGCATTTACACACGTAATGGTGATGACTTCTTGAGCAGAATCCAAAAGTCATTAGAGCAGCAGGAGTAGCTCTGGAGAGTACAAGAAGTAGGTTTTGATATGCTGTGATATTTCAGATGTTTATTCAACACAAAATGCAGTAATTATGACACCTGACTTTTTTATTGCTGGAGAATTAAAGACCTGTATTTCTAGGGAATTTGACTTAACAAGGTGCTCTAACACTTATTATTCAACCAGAATGCTGAATCTGCTGCAGCCACCAGTTTTTTTTTTTTTAATTTTTAAAAATCATCCTCTTATATGTAGGACATGGAGAGAGAGGTAGGAAAACAGAGACTTTATACTTTTAATTGCTTAAAAATAACATGATTCAGAGATCTTACATTTAATATCTGTTTTTATTTGCAATTTTCATAGCGTCGTCTTGGAGATGCAGCCAAGAAAGCCATCAGTAAATTGACAACGAGAACAGTGAAAAAGGGTGACAAGGTACAGTACTGAAATAACTTTAGCACTGTAAAATCATCAGATAGTTACACCAGGACAGTGAAAATGGGTACAGTACCAAATAACGAAGTACAGTACCAAAGAAAGTACAGTACCAAAGAAAGTACAGTACCAAAATAACTTCAGCACTGCAGAATCATCAGATAGTTACACCAGGACAGTGAAAAGGTTGACAAGGAACAGTACTGAAATAACTTCAGCACTATAAAATCATCAGATAGTTTCACCAGGACAGTGAAAAGGTTGACAAGGTTCAGTACTGAAATAACTTCAGCACTATAAAATCATCAGATAGTTTCACCAGGACAGTGAAAAGGTTGACAAGGTTCAGTACTGAAATAACTTCAGCACTATAAAATCATCAGATAGTTTCACCAGGACAGTGAAAAGGTTGACAAGGTTCAGTACTGAAATAACTTCAGCACTATAAAATCATCAGATAGTTTCACCAGGACAGTGAAAAGGTTGACAAGGTACAGTACTGAAATAACTTAAGCACTGTAAAATCATCAGATAGTTTCACCAAGACAGTGAAAAGGTTGACAAGGTACAGTACTGAAATAACTTAAGCACTGTAAAATCATCAGATAGTTTCACCAAGACAGTGAAAAGGTTGACAAGGTACAGTACTGAAATAACTTAAGCACTGTAAAATCATCAGATAGTTTCACCAGGACAGTGAAAAGGTTGACAAGGTACAGTACTGAAATAACTTAAGCACTGTAAAATCATCAGATAGTTTCACCAAGACAGTGAAAAGGTTGACAAGGTACAGTACTGAAATAACTTCAGCACTATAAAATCATCAGATAGTTTCACCAGGACAGTGAAAAGGTTGACAAGGTACAGTACTGAAATAACTTCAGCACTGTAAAATCATCAGATAGTTTCACCAAGACAGTGAAAAGGTTGACAAGGTACAGTACTGAAATAACTTAAGCACTGTAAAATCATCAGATAGTTTCACCAAGACAGTGAAAAGGTTGACAAGGTACAGTACTGAAATAACTTCAGCACTATAAAATCATCAGATAGTTTCACCAGGACAGTGAAAAAAGGTGACAAGGTTCAGTACTGAAATAACTTCAACACTGTAAAATCATCAGATAGTTTTGTTTTTCTTTGGTGGGAGAGGACACACCCTAATTGTTTGCATTTCGTTTGTTAGAGTTTCTTGAACTATACTACCTAATGCTTTATTTTAAACTACTTTCTTGCAGTAACTCTGCTATGTTTTCCTACAAGAGTTTTCTTCTGCTAAAACCTAGTATACGTTTTCAGAGAATTATAGTGTGACCGTTTGTGCGTTGAAAAGCCACAAGATGTATGTTTTTCTTCTTATACTTCCTGGGACTTTACTGTGTCTTTTTTGTTTTGTTTTTTTACTAGTTACACGGAGAATTGAAGACCTGCATTTCTAGGGAGTTTCACCTAACAAGGTGCTCTCTCTACAATCGGTTGAGCAATTTGGCAGAAGAGCAAAGTGTGTTAGGGTTATCCCTGGTGACTTGGAGGACCAAGGGAGAGAGGCTATGTCAAGATGCTGTGGCGGAGACCTCTAACGACATCCTCCGCTCAGAGCTCTAGTTATGGTAGAGCCCTGCTTCCTCCCTAGAAGGACACAGTTGTACCTTAGTGCTGCCCCTACATTCAGGGTACTCAGGTTATCTAGAATGGGAAAATGGCGTCTCAAAAGTCATAAAACTCAAACTGTCTCCTGCCCCACACCCAGTTCTAATATTTAAGCACTGAGTTGTGTCTGGAAGGACAATTTCAGATGATTCTCTGTCTTCCTGAGTTTTACCAGTTTCTTGGACTTTATCCATTTTATTCCCATTGCCGTGATACCACCATATATAGTTGCCGTTGAAACAGCTTCAGAAGGTGAAGACACTTTATTGTATACCAAGGAAAGAGAAAAGGGGGGAATCACTTAAGAAAATATAAGCAGCATCAAAACAGCTTGTACTTCAGTGGCAGAGAAGTGGTAACCAATGTAACAGTGTAAATGCTTTCTTTGCCTGGTAACCTCAGCTGCCACATAAGTTTGAAATTCCCTGGACCAGGTTTAACCTACCCATCTTACTTTGTATCCCAGGCCAGCACAATTATTTCCTTTAATTATTAAAAGCAATTCATCTTAGTTTGTACCTCCTAGACCTGCCAAGAGTTATCCACTGAATTTCAGTCCAAGTGACAATGACACGGCAAATAGTCTGTTTTCCTGGCTTAGGTTCTTGGCATGTTTTATTTTATGACGACTTAGGCAAAACCCCTTCTTAGTCCTAGGAGGAAGGAAATCAATTAATCTGGTGTCTAAATACCTAGCTGACTCTTTCTCACTCTTAATAAAGACCCAGTATTGAATTGAGCCAATGACTCTTCTCCATCCCAAATCTGTGACCAGATTCACAGACCACCTTCTTGTGACCAAGTCACAGCAGTCTGCTGGGAATTGACTCGCCATCTTTCCTGCCTGTACTTAGGTGTGTGTTAAAGTGAGCATCCTGGTGAGCTTCCAGACTGTGTCAAACATAGCAGTGAAACCTCTTCAGACTAATAAATAATACAGGGGGACTGAGGGATGGGGAGATCATGATGGTCCAAGCTGATTCTAACCTTGATAAAATTAGAATTCCGACTTAATTTTTGTAAGATATAACAAAATATAGATTATTATAATTTTAAAAACAAAATAGATTGGCTTAGACATAATTTGGGCCAATAGAGTTAGGCAAACAAAAACATATTAAATTAATTGTAATCATTTTCACTTTATAATACCTGCCGACCATAGTAGCCACAGAAAGATTCGAAGCTGAATTGCATCCCCACCGTATATATACTTGCATCATGTGACTTTTGCTTCTGTACTTTTCATTTTAGGAAACTGATCCAGACTTTGATCATTGTGCAGTCTGCATAGAGAGCTATAAGCAGAATGATGTCGTCCGAATTCTCCCCTGCAAGTATGTTAACTTCATTTGTTGGAAAAGAATGATAATGTGCTTTGTGTGCCCCCCTTTCAAAGTGGGCATCTCTCTTGCTTTTGAGCGCCACCCACCCCATGACTTTCTGGAGGCCACACCCACTGTGCATTGCCAGCCATGGAGCTGAGGCCAGTGGGGAGTGGTGCTACTCAGCAGGTGCAGGCTGCATAGCCTTTTTAGGTGTAGCCAATATGCCCTGTGGCATGTGGCCTCCAGACTCCCCAGACACAGCCTAGGAGTGTTGAGGTCGAGAATTCTTGTTCTGTGGTTTCATTTATTTTATGTTTGTTAATATTTTTTTTTTTTGAGATGGAGTCTCACTCTGTTGCCCAGACTGGAGTGTAGTGGCACGATATCAGCTCACTGCAACCTCCGCCTCCCAGGCTCAAGCAATTCTTCTGCCACAGTCTCCCGATGAGTAGCTGGGGTTACAGGTGGCCACCACCATGCCCAGCTAATTTTTGTATTTTTAATAGAGACAGGGTTTCACCATGGTGGCCAGGCTGGTCTCAAACTCCTGACCTCAGGTGATCCTCCCGCCTCAGCCTCCCAAAATGCTGGGATTACAGGCTTGAGTCACTGCACCCGGCCCATTTTCTTTAAAGATGGGGTTCTCACTGTGTTGCCCACAGCTGGACATGAATTCCTGGGCTCAAGCAGTCCTCTTGCCTTGTCCTCCCAAAGTGCTAGGATTGCAGACATGAGCCACTATGCTCAGCATTGTTTTGTGATTTCTGTGGGTTTCAAAAACAGCTCCTTGTTCTTCTCCATCTTAAATTAGACTACATCACTAGGTCCTCCAGTGAGACTTCATCAAGCTCACCTGGCTCTGGGTACAACAGCTCCAGGGACTTGGATTAAATCTTTTTCTAAACCCAGATTATGCAGAGTCAAAAGGACTGATACCTACTTCGTGCCTGCTGTGGTTCGAGTGCTCTTCTCTGAGCAGACTATACTCACTGTCTCCTATAATTCTCCCAGCAGTCCTAAGGTGTTTTTCCCCATTGTAGAGTGAAAAATGGTGAACCAGTGGCAGGTTCCAGGGTCGCACAATTCAGAAATGGCAGAGCTGTGACAAGGACTGTCTTTAATGTGGTGCTCCCCACATAGGACCCAAGCCTCCCTCCATGAGGAGAGAATTTGCCTGTGCCTGGGTACCCTGGAAATGGCTGTTGGTTTCTACCATGGCTCCTCTAAAGTTAGGGAGTATGAAACTTTAAGATACACTGTTCTGAATGTCAACTGGATAAATAGGAAATCACCTTCCAGGAAGGCTAAAACCAAAGAGTTTTCCTCTTCCTCCTCCCTTCTGTTTAAAAGATATCCACACAACTTCAGCCTTATAATATGGAGCATGTGAATTAATCAAATAATTGTGAGTTGTTATCTTCATGAGGCTACTGGTCTTATTTTACTTACAAAGTAACCTATTTTGAGTCTAGGAGGATAGGCTTTGTGTTTGTTTGTTTTAAATCAAACTGAAGAATTACATATACTGAGACAGAAATCCAAGAATCTGGAATTTAAGTCATTCTAGTTTACATGTAAAGGAAAATCTATAAAACTAAATGTAAGCTGTCCTGTAGAAAATTAAACTATGTAACAGCCAGTCTTCCTTCACATATAGTCATTTATGATCTAAACGTGAGGCTAAAGGAAATGTACATGCAAGTGCAAATCAGGAGAAGAGCCAGCGGGACAGAGGGGAGGCATAACCACACTCACCTGCTTCCACACTGGAATGACCAGGAGAAGCCAAGTCTCTCCAAATTCCATCTTGCTGTTTCAGCCCAGGATCCTCCAGAACCTAAAAATAAGGGCTTCTAAAACCATTCATGGGTATTACTAAAAAGAGGTGAGGGGGGGCCTTCCTTAAGGGAGGCTTGGCCTAAAGTAGGTTATTCTGGGAGCTTACTCCTATTATCTTCATCCTTTCAGTGTTGACTTTTCCACAGTTTAATTCGGAGTTATCTTTTTCCTTTTGTATAATTTTTATTTTTTTTAGAGTTGGGGTCTCACTGTGTTGTCCAGGCTTCTCTGAACTCCTGGCCTCAAGTAATCCTCCCACCCTAACCTTGTAAAATTCTGGGATCACAGGCTTGAGCTCCACGTCTGGCCTTCTTTTTAAAATTTAGTTCAGTGCTTTCCAAACCTGACTGCATCAGAGTCAGTGGGGGAGCTTTCAGAAACATCCCAAGTGGAGTCCAGGCATATGCACTTTAATAAGTTCCTGCCTGATTCTGGTGTGCAAGAGTCCAGGCCATGGTTGATCTGAACCATTTCTACTGCTGCACCTGCCACCATAGAAATGGTTTGTGTTTCTGGTCTGCTTGTGAATATTAGAATTTTGGCCACACTTCACAGAATTTCGTTGCACCCTCTATGATACTGTTACTTGGTTGTCTTTCAGTACTAGGTCATTGTGTTACTAGCCGTGCTCACTCCCCTGCTGAGTGTAGAGTTTTCCCTGTTGCTGTGGAACTGAGCAGCTGTTTGTTCCACCCCCATGTGTCACCAAGCTGTGGCTTTCCCTAGACTGCACTGCATAGCCTGCTCAGCACAGTGCCCCATCTCACGACCACGTAGCAACAGTGCAATTATCAGGTGTAGTAAAAATTAACTTTACACATCAAGCAGTACTTGTGACAGTCTTTAACCTAGAGCAGTGTTTCTCAGCCTTGGCACTGTTGACATTTGGAACCAGGTCACTGAGCATTGCAGTGTCCTTGGCCTCTATCTATTAGGTGTCAGTAGCACCCACGAACACACAGTGTGACAACCAAAACTGCCTCCAGATGAGAACCATCTGAGCTGAGGATGACCATGCATGGCTCTTCAAGCCTCTCCCCAGCAGATGCCACTCACACAGCTGTGCCTTCCCTCTCACCAAGCTGCCACTTACAGAATTCCTTCTGCCTTGGGATGCCTCCTTGCCCCTATTGTCATCGAACCCCAGTGTCAGTGTTACCTGTTAAGGCTTTGTGTACCTCCTGTTGCTAAGCAGTTCTGCTCCCTCACCATCTTCCCACGGGACTCTGAACAGGCTTGGCAGGCAACCTTGCCGCCGGGTCTGCCACTGCCCAGAGCCCTGCTTCTGTCTGGCTGGCCCTCTGCATTCATCACAGCAGCACCTGCAAGTGTGTTCACTCTCCTTCAGCACCTTAACTCACACGCTTATTCTTCAGTCTCAGAGGACCACTTCACCATGACTTCCCAGAGGAAGCAATGAGTGGAATTCCCTCTGTGTGCTGACCTGAGCCTTCAGGCTGGAGAGGCCATCTGCTGTGGTCTGCGCTGCTCCTCGCTGCACCGCTGTGTGCTTGCTCTCTCCCTTCCTCAGGGCCTTGTTCTGTTGGTTGGCTGCTTCCTTCAGTGTTCTTTCCATCTTCACTCGCCGGCATCTCTTCATGCTCGCATTTCCCAGTCCAGTTTTTTTTTTTTTTTTTGAGATGTAGTTTCGCTCTTGTTACCCAGGCTGGAGTGCAATGGCGCGATCTCAGCTCACCGCAACCTCCACCTCCTGGGTTCAGGCAATTCTCCTCCCTCAGCCTCCTGAGTAGCTGGAACTACAGGCATGCGCCACCATGCCCAGCTACTTTTTTATTTTTATTTTTAGTAGAGACAGGATTTCACCATGCTGACCAGGATGGTCTTTATCTCTTGACCTTGTGATCCACCCGCCTCGGCCTCCCAAAGTGTTGGGATTACAGGCATGAGCCACCTTACCCGGCTTTCCCAGTCGTTTTTAAAACTCTTTCAAAGCCATCACCCTCCAAGTACCGCCCCACAGCCTCTCCTGTCGTACCTGCCCACTGCCTCTTCCCTCCATGAGGGAGGGAGATGGTCCCGGATACCATCATGTCCATCTTTCCATAACGGTTCACAAGCTCAGCTAGGACTCTCTATCCAGAGCTGTCAAGCCTCTCATGGATTGCTGGCTTCTTGCCACATGACCTTTTCTTTTCCTCTTCTGTTGCACCATTTATTGTATTTACTGTGGACAGATGGCAGTTGGCATGGCAGCGGGGCTTCCTCCTTGGCTCAGTGATCACAGCTGATTCTCCTTTGGATGTTAGCCAGCAGGTCTTGGAAACTGAGGAACTGTCACCTCGCCTTATTTAGACCTTTTAGTTCAAGGTTAGCCATAGGAGTTTTTAGTAGTTAGAAGTATTTTTTCAGAAATGGAGTGTTGCAGCATGAATAAACGCATGTTTCGATGCCACTTTGGGAGCTAAAACAGGTGGCCAGCCACTGCAGGTGTCTGAGGCTCCACTGCAGCCGAAGGCCTGTAGAGACAGTGACTGCTGCCAGCCCCAGCTAGCAGAAGAGAGTTCTTGTCTCAGACCTTTAACAATCCTGCATCCTTTTATATTTGCCAGGTTCTTACACGGCACCAAGAGGCTGCAGAGCTGTGAGAGCAACTCACCTTCAATATAGAGGCCTCTCCCTCCCCCCAGCGCTGTTCTGCTCACTCTAGTTTATGGCATGTGTGGAACATAGGAAAGGGGAGGGCGCCGAATTTCAGTATTGCTGGGTTTGTTCCTTTCATGTTCTATTTGTTTCTCATTCTGTATCCCAAAGTATTTCTCATAGGAATAAAGGACTTTGTTGAAACTCGGTATGCTTGTGCTTTTCATGTTTCACTGTTCACACATCACCTGCTTTCCGTCCCAGTGCACCACCCACCTTGTGTGTGGTGGGGCCTGTTCTGCATTTATGTGTGTTTTTATCACGTGAGTGGGGAACTACTTTTCAGGGCCCCACTTTTCCCAGGTGCCTCTTTCTGAGGCCTTCTGGGTGTCCATGGAGCACCTTCCATAGTGAGAGCCCACAGTCATAGTGAGGGCAAGCATGGGTAGGTGTACGGGAGTGTGGCCAATCAGTGGGGCTGCTTTGCCCATGTGATGACCCTGCATGTGCTCAGCCTTGGCACTTCTCTTAGTGGTCCACACGCTGTGTTGCATTGACTGCTCCAAATGCCTCCCAAGATAAATAGGTGCTCCTGGCCCAGTCCTTAGCTGAGATTGCTACACTGTGGAAAAGTGGTTTGCCGAGCACCAGAGTGTTGTAGCAGAACTTAGCCTAGAAGGGAAGGAAAGGCCACAGGGAGTTTTGTGACAGTTGCACTGAGGAGACCAGCAGGAGGGTTAGAGAATGGGTGATGAGGGAAAAAAGGTACCATGTTCAGGGCAGCTGCCCACGGAGATCACAGAAGAGACAGGAAAGAGAGGAGGGCCGTGGGTGAAGAGAACAGCCACCAGCTTTGTGGAAGCGAGGGATGTGCTGTGGGAATTTGAGACTGAGGATCTCTGGGTGAGTTGCACAGACTAAAGGAACTTTTTTTAAAAAACCAAAAATATTACAGATTTTGAGTTAGCTAAGGAAGGGAAGTTTTCTAAATTTGTCACCAGAGAACCAGTTGGTCTTTTTTCTTCATAGTATCCCACAGCCTAGAGGAGAAATTGTAATTGTTTAGTAAAACAGAGGGTAGGCACTTCTTTTAATATCAATAATCATAGAAGGAAACAGTTACTCAAGAAGATATTTATAACTAATTTCAGGTTAAAGAAACAGAGAACACAAAACTTGTGCAGCTTTAAAAATGAAATATGAAGATTATACCATTTGGTTCTTTCTGTATAGTAAGAGAAAAGAAAGATGGGACAGTAAGAAAAGGGAAAAGCAAAAACTGGCCCCAGTGGGGAGCACCAGAGCCATACCTCCGTCCCTTCCAGGCAGCTGCTGTGGCTTTACCACATCTCCACCAACAGCTCAGCAAGCCTGGTCACCCCCATCCCCCGTCTTGGTACCTCCCACTCCTCTGGAGCCCTGATCAGAGGTCATGGCACTGTATCTCTTCCATTACCTGTCGGCCAGCCAAGTCCCATCATCCACCCTGCATAGGCCTGGCCTGCAGCACCTTCCCAGCCACCCCACACCCTAGCACTAACCTAGTGCACAGGTCTGTACCCCTCCTGAAAACGTATGCAAGATACTAGGCATTTGCATCCCTGTGACTTTTTAGGATGAGGTTCTGTAATTTGTATCAGTTCTAAAGGAGTTGGTATCCCCCAAAATGGTTAAGAAGCCTGTTGTGGTCTTTGTTGATCAGCAACCAGCAATAGCGCAGTTGACCCCTGCTGGAAAGTCCAGGCTGGCCCTGGGGACACCTTGTATGTAGTAAGGAAACCCTCCACACACAGGCTACGAGTAACAAGACATAATGCCTTAGGTGTCCTGAACATATTTGGGCCTCACCTGTGGATTGGTGGCTTTCCAGCCCTTAAGTAAAAGCTTTAAGGTTTAAATAAATGACATGCCTTCACAGGTTATTTCATTGTCTGCAAATTTAAGACTAGATTGATAAATCCATTCTTTGAGATCTTTACTCTTATCCCCAAAGAAATGAGTATAAGGCCATAGAACAGTAATAGGCAGGCATGTGTGTATACTGTTCAGGCTGAAGTTGTAAGCATGAATGTTTGTTCTAGATCTCTGAGTTCTCTAGACCTCTATTTATAAATCAAAACTACATTTTTAAACAGATATAAATAACATTAAATTACAAATTGACAGAGTTGTAAAGGTATATACCATGATTCAATTTGGTATCTTTCTCAAAAATTTCTTTTATCCCAAACTCAGATTATTCTTCCAAAGCTGCCCTGAACATCTGCCCTGGCACCCACATTCTCCCTGTTTGGCCGGGACTCTAGAGCTTCAGAAAGCTGCTGGGCAGGGTGCTAGAGCTTGAGAACCAATTTCTGCAGCTCCTGCAATCTCTCCTCCCTTCCAAAAGGCATAAGTTCCTTTTTATTAAGACTGCAAAACCCTCTGTGACTAACTTATTACCAGTCGCAAGGGTATGACTTGCTCTTTTCCTGAATAAGAGAGAAAATTACCCATCCTCCCCCTTAAACGTTTCAGCTAAAAATTGCCATCTAAGTGTTACTTGATTCTAGGCACAGTATACCCCTTAAAATAGGTCCAACTTCCCTGTAGCTTTTATAAACATTCAACATAAATTGCTTAGAAGTTTTTAAAAATGATGTTTTAAATGACATTCAGACAGGGTTGCATAAAACTAATTAATAACTATACAGAGAACTCTTCATTTAACCATGATTTAATATCATTTTGAAATTCTATTTTTCTATGTTAGCTATTACAGAAAGCATAACTTTAATAAGGTGTGATTATTTTCATTCTTAATAAGTTTTCTAAGTTTCCATTAGTCTTTTTTGGAATTTGGTCAAACAAATTCCAAACAACCAAATCCTACTTAACATTTCTTACACAGTGTTGTTGACATATGAAGTGGGTTCAGGAGATTTTCTGCAAGTTATATTTTAATAAATTTCCATTATTTGTCTCTTGGGGCTTAAAATAGGTCCTGAAAGGGGGAAAAACAGACTAACTAAAAATTCCATTTCTTTCCATTTTGGCCTAATAGTTTCTCAATATGTAATTTGTGACATAACTCTCCATTATTTTGTAGGCATGTTTTCCACAAATCCTGCGTGGATCCCTGGCTTAGTGAACATTGTACCTGTCCTATGTGCAAACTTAATATATTGAAGGCCCTGGGAATTGTGGTATGTTTCGTATTTCATTTTTTATCACTTTTGCGTATTATTATATGTATGGGTAATAGAATATAACACCATTGGCATGATAGAAGGCATGACTGAGTCACACAAAAAAACACTGGTTGTATTTGCTATGTAACCTTGTAAGCCCAGTAGTGCCTTTTTTCCAGATTACTAAGAAGTCTAACCCGTCTCAGAGAACTCCTGGAAGAGGAGGTAAATAACTGTACTAGTCTTTTTTTTTTTCTTTCTTTTTTTAAAATTCAAGAGACAGGGTTTCACTCTGTCGCCCAAGCTGGAGTGCAGTGGTGCAGTCATAGCTTACTGTAACCTCGAACTCCTGAGCTCAAGCAGTCCTCCCACCTCATCCTTCTGAGTAGCTGGGACCACAGGCATACACCACCGTGCCTGGCTAACTTTTTTGGTTGGTTGGTTTGTTTTTTGAGACAGAGTTTGGCTCTTGTTGCCCAGGTTGGAGCAATCTTGGCTCACTGCAACCTCTGCCTCCCAGGTTCAAGCAATTCTCCTGCCTCAGCCTTCCAAGTAGCTGGGATTACAGGCACCTGCGACCACCCCTGGCTAATTTTTAGTAGAGACAGGGTTTCACCATGTTGGCCAGGCTGGTCTCCAACTCCTGACTTCAAGTGATCCACCCACCTCAACATTCCAAAGTGCTGGGATTACAGGCATGAGCCACCGCACTTGGCCACTTTTTTATGTTTTGAAGAGACAAGATATTGTTCAAGCTGGTCTCAAACTCCTGGCCTCAAGTGATCCTCCTGCCTCAGCCTCCCAAAGTGCTGGGATTACAGGTGTGAGTCACCACACCTGGCATGGTCCACTTTTAAAAGTGTGCTTCTGTTGGATGATGAGTATGGGATAAGGAACTGATGGTGGAGAGAATGGAGGAAGGACATGATTTTTCTGCATTCCAGTATCTCTTTTTAGAAGGTAGGATATATGCTGTTGACTCTGTTCCAGTCATAATCTCCTCTGTGCTTGGCATAATACAAAATTATGTCATTGCTTATGTTCCTTCTCCTGAAGTTTGACTTTTATCTCTTGGGTGTTGGTAAGTTGCAATCAGAGAAGGAGGGCAGTGACTGAAGCCCAAGGAGAACTGTTGACAACCACAGCTTGGCAGGGCCATTGCCAGGCACGCCAGAGACCAGCTGTGGTAGGTGCCAGGTTAACGTTGACTAACCAAGGCCCTTGGTTAGTCCTTGCTTAAGAGAAGCATGTGTATGCAGGGTTATGCTTTTTATAGGAAAATAAAGTAGTTTATGGTCTCAAAAAAAGAATGAAAGAATAATCTCCTTATGGAACAAAAGTTTAATCCAATAAATGAACTGCTCGTTTTAGCTTACAACCCAAAGAAGATCAAAGTCATTTCATTTTAAATATACTGTCAAACACAGTTTCAGTTTATACAGTTGGGCAGTAATGCCCCATTTGTCTTTTGTCTCCAGAGATCATGTCAGTGGTGATGTAATTTAACATGGGATTTCTCAAAGTATCAGGCATTACTGACACCATGGACTGGATAATCCCTTCTTGTAGGGGCTGTCCTGTGTGTTGTAGACTGTTGAGCAGCATCTAAATGCTAGTAGCACAGCACCACAGCCACAACAGTCAGAAATGTCTCCAGACATTGCCAGATGTCCCCCAGGGAGCAAACTCATCCCCATTTCATCTGGTTTAACATAGAGTATCTGCCATGAGGCCTAGCACAGTGTAGAAACTTTTTTTTTTTTTGAGATGGAGTCTTGCTCTGTCTCCCAGGCTGGAGTGCAGTGGCACCATCTCGGCTCACTGCAACCTCCATCTTTCATGTTCAAGCAGTTCTCGTACCTCAGCCTCCCAAGTAGCTGGGATTATAGGCACTTGCCACCACGCCTGGCTAACTTTTTTTTTTTTTTTTGAGATGGAGTCTCACTCTGTCTCTAGGCTGGAGTGCAGTGGTGCCATCTCAGCTCACTGCAACTTTCATCTCCCAGGTTCAAGCAATTTCCCTGCCTCAGCCTCTCAAGTGGCTGGGACTACAGACACACATCACCACACCCGGCTAATTTTTTGTATTTTAGTACAGATGGGATTTCACCATGTTGGTCAGGATGGTCTCAATCTCCAGATCTTGTGATCCATCAGCTTCAGCCTTCCAAAGTGTTGGGATTACAGGCATGAGCCACCATGCACAGTCGCTAATTTTTGTGTTTTTAATAGAGACTTGTTTTCCTCATGTTGGCCAGGCTGGTCTCAAACTCCTAATCTCAAGTGATCTACTCATCTCGGCCTCCATAAATGCCGGGATTACAGACATGAGACACCGTGCCTGGCCAACAGTGCAGAAACTTCAAAACCATTAACTTACCCTCTGTTGTTACCTCTAGCCTTCTTGAGTTTTTTCGTTTGTTTGTTTGGTAAGTATATTAAGTGCTAATACTTTCCTCCTCTGTTTATAACAAAAGCCCTTCTAAAATGTATTGCAGGCTACTATGGATCCTTAAATGTGATGAACATAAAAAAAACCTATTCTAACTGAGCGTGAATCTAAGCATCACGTAGTACACTGTTCTGTGATTTTTTAATAAGGCTTTGAGATGACCTGAAACAGTTCATTTGTCCAGGAAGCCATTGTTCCAGGTTTGGTTGGCTGAAACTTCTCTCTATAAACATATAACCTTCTCACAGCCACCTTTCCCAGCTCTGCTTCTCATGTGCTGCCTGCTGCTACGTGCTGGGAATACCAAAGGTTGCTAGGTAAACCAAATATTCACATTGTTAAAATGGAAAACTTTTGGTACTCACTTTTTAATTGGTTGACTTTGGCCTCAAGCATCTCTATACCTTTCCCTCAGGATTAGGTGCTTAGGTTTGAACTATCATTTTCTTATAGTTCAAAAGCCTTTTCAACTTTAACCTACTCTTGGCTTTATGTTTTACTTGTGTTTAAAGTTAGAAGATACTTAAAAACGGACTGTCTGATAAATGGAGCTTTCAGAGAAGTTAGTAGGATGAAAGACGTGTTTTCTATTACCTGAGATTCTTCAACATGAACATTTACCATTAAGCAAAATAATAGTTTACTCTTTAAACTGGATGTTTGCTATCTTTATGTTAATGATTATGATTTCCTGTGTGCCATGACCAGTTTTCTCTGATCTGCAATGAATTTTGGTTTTCCTTTGTACCATTTGTGAGAAGAGATCTCTGTGCCTTTTGAAGAAGAACTCTTAGGGTGAGAAGAGAAAGAGTAGGTAGGTGGGCAGGTAAATGAGAGATGACAGAGAAAGAACTTGGTGAGGTCTTTGCAACAGGCTGTTAAACTTTAGAATCTTACAAAATTATTTGTTTTCCTAACAATTATTTTTAACCTGGAAATATTTTGCAGCCGAATTTGCCGTGTACTGATAATGTAGCATTCGATATGGAAAGACTCACCAGAACCCAAGCTGTTAACCGAAGATCAGCCCTCGGCGACCTTGCCAGCGACAACTCCCTAAGCCTTGAGCCACTTCGAACTTCGGGGATATCACCTCTTCCTCAGGACGGGGAGCTCACTCCGAGAACAGGAGAAATCAACATTGCAGTAACAAGTAAGTGGGGGCCTCCGCTCAGGCACTGGGCACATGGCTGCCTGTGTGGGCATTCAGGACCATCAGGAGAATCAAGGCACTCACCTCGGCCTGCAACACAGACTGTAACCAAGAAAGTGATGTGTATTTCTGTTAAAACAGGTATTTGGAAGAATGAAACTTTATTTATGATAAGTAGCTTGTGTGTTTGTATATGATGCATAGGAATAGCTGCATTTGATAAGTAGCTGTTTAGAGGTCCGTCTTAGTCGCTGTTTTATAAACCTTGTTTTGAAATCATTGTGTTGCAAACAGGCATTTGAAGGGAGATGTTGGAAGGTGACAGAGGCCCCCAGCTGCATTGCTCTGGTATGTTGTATGCTGTGAGCACTGGTGCTTTCCACCTCCCGGACTACAGACTACTTAGTGGCAAACTCATCTAGAATTTGAACCTAAAAGTTCACAGTTCACGGAACATAGCCTGTTGCACACTTTATTTTAAACTTTTTATGGAAGTTTGGTCTCTTGGCTCTTAACTCTTTGGTATAATTGTACACAAGGTCAGAGAAAAGCCAAAGGACAATCTACCTGGAGAAAAATACTGTGAGCTAGTTATGAACATCTTCATGTTTGCACTGTTGAAAAGCAGGAAAGAAATGCTGAGCATTTTGATGGCAGTGCCTAAGGCCGGTGTGAGTGAGCTGACAGCGTGAGTGTGGCCATCGTAGACATTCACCCCTCAACAAGCCAGCTCTTCTCTTCAGTTCCATTCTTTACATGTTATTTTCATCTAACAGCCTTTCACCCATCTTCCTTGTTGCTGCTCTGCTATCGCCTTTTCCAGTACCTACTGCTGCTTGCCTAGAGCTTCATGCCCTGAGGCTTGTGGGACCCCACTCAACTCTGGGAGTCAGTGAAATGGATGACACTGTTAGAAAATGTTTTCTCCTTCACATATTAAGACTTGTGTGGTCTGTTCAATCAAAGTGTTTATGTTTTTAACCAACCAGACATTATTATTAGAAAATGATTCCCCAGGTTTTATTCTGTCTGTCTAAACTCAGCTTTCATTCAGTTATGTAGTACGGGAAACTATGCTTTGAGTGTAGTCTGCCTCATTTCTCATCATCTCTCAGTGATTCGTTTTAATAGCATTTCATGGTTTTCTTACTTTGGCGTTTAGGTTTTATGGTCTATAGTTTTAAAACTTGATTGAGTAGTAATAAAGGACACAAAAGTTGTTGGTTTTCTAGGTCCTTCATTGATCAGACATTTATTGAGCACCTACTACTTAACTACATTAAGTATTGATCCCATTATATTTTATATAGAAATGTCCTTTCAAAATCTTATGCTTTGGTGATAAAAAGACTACTTCATCTATCAAATTAATTGCCTTAAGTAGAATTTACATATGATGTTAATAAATAAAATTCATGTGATTGAACTAAACCACAGCTACCTCTGCTTTCCCTCCAAAGCCCTGTAGCACCATAGCAATCACTATGCATCCAACTGGTACCCACTGTGTGTAAGGCACTGTGCTAAGTAGGCACTGGGGGCAAAGGTAGCCAGGCCTGCTGCAGGGGGCACTGTGGAAATGCCACCAGCATATTGGGTGTTTTATGATGGTGTTTACTTCCTTTTGTTACTAGTTTTTAAAACTGAAATCACATACACACACAGAGACATGCAAATATGGGATGGTATACTCAGAATTTGGAAACACAGATGTGACAAAGTTCTACAAGGTATCATGTATAAAATCTCCAAGAAGAAAAAAGAGGATACTGTGTTAAGTTCCTTGAGGTTGGTGACATTCAGCTCTTGATTTTTTAAAATGCCGTATACATTTTCCCTAAGTTAAAACATTGCAGATAAAAATGATGGGTTTTATGTGTTCTTGAATGTTCATGTTGATAAAATAAAAAGCTTCAATCTACTAATGAGGAAGTTTGTAATTCAAGAGTCAGTGACTGCACTGATGTCTAAAAAGAAAAGGTTTACTAAGCATTTTAGTAACATAAGTTAAGGTGGGCAGAGAAATGCTTATAGAACACATTCCAAGCCCAGAAGTCCCCAGGAGTAGTGCTTCTTGACCTTTGGAAAGTCACCACCTTTAAAATCTAATGAAAGTATGTTTTTCTAGAAAAACGCCTGTGCACACACAATTTTGCATGCAGAGTTAGAATTTGTGGAACCCAGATTGAAAACCACACATTATATACAACTTGTGCATAAAACATTTGGCAGTCCAGGTGTAAACAGTTCTCTCTGCCTTCTTGCAGATACATAGATAATTTTATTATATAACATTTTTGTGAAAACAACCCTAGTCAGTGTATACTCTAAGAAATATTTTCTAGTTAAGGCTTTTTAACAAGTCAGTTTGGTTCTTAGGTTGTTTTCAAGGTTCTCAATAAATACTATTTTTAAAATGTTACCTTGACAACATAGGCTCTGAAAAGGTAAGGGAACATATCTGGATAAAGAGAGAGAGAGAGAGACAGGCTAGATAAAAACCCTTAGAGTTTTAAGTACCAGAGGTTTTCAGCTCTTTGGTGGCCAAGTACGTGGTCTGTTGCTTGCCCTTCCTACTTTGCTTGTCACAGCCTGAACCACTGCTACTCCTTGGCAGTGGTATCAGGAAGAGTAGTTTCTATTTTCTTGAGACACCAGTGAGGTGTCGTTTTTTATGTAAATATCCTAAATAAGCCCATGCCTAAGAGAGAAGAATGTAGCCATGATGCTGTGGGAGGCCGGCTTGTAGACTGCTGGGAGCACCCACAGGACATGGAGAACTGCTGCTCTGTGCTCCTGAGCCTTTGACTAACAATGAAAGCCATGCAGAAATGACAGAATGAAGATGAAAAGAAGGTTATAAGTATGCTTAGTCTACTTTGCTGTTATTTAAATTAACAATGAAAACATCTATGTCCATGTGCAATTTTATATATCTGTTTTCACCACATCCTTTTTGGTGGCTACACTCCTCACAGACCTCAGGACCTAAAATGGAAGAAATGGTTGGGCCATGCTTTCCTTTCTCCCTTGCAGCTTTCACCAGTACTTCCACTAACCTTCTCCAGTTAGTAGCTCTCTGGCAAACCTCCTGCTTCACTTCTTTGGGCCAATCTTGGCTTACACCTCCGTTGACGTCTGCTTCGTTGCATTTGAGGGAAATGTTGGCGTCGATTTGACTTAAACCTTCTCCCCAGAGTGATTTCCTCCCTTTCCTTTGTCAACAGAAGAATGGTTTATTATTGCCAGTTTTGGCCTCCTCAGTGCCCTCACACTCTGCTACATGATCATCAGAGCCACAGCTAGCTTGAATGCTAATGAGTAAGTAACAAATTGTTTTTTGGATTGCATGTGCCAGATGATCCCAAGAAAACACATGGAGTAATTTTCATGAAGGTGGTGAGAATTGGCTTTCCACCATACCGATCCTGATGGGATCATATCTAGCAAAATACTTTATTTTATGAACATACATTTTTAGTCAGTAACACAGATTGGGAGTTCACCTTATTCAACAATAACAGCTCATTTGAGAAAAGATCTAGAGGTTTTCATTAGCCACGTACTTAGAATGAATCAGCAGTGTAATGCAAATGCCAAAAGAACAAGTATAGTCTTAGAGTGTAGAAGACTGTCACTTTACTTGTATTCATCACACTTATCTGGATCTTGCATGTCTGGCTTCTGGGGAAGCCCTGGCACCCATGTCTATGGTCAGGACCAGTACCTTTGGTGCTTGGCCTGCAGGAAAGAAGCAATTAAAAAGACCCACTGTTTCTGGATATTAGGACGACTGTCAAGAGGAAGAGAAAATAAGTCTAAGCACTATCTCCGGGCAAAATGGCGACCAAAGAGCAGGCTCCATGACTTCAGGTTTTACCTCAGTAAAAGGAAGGATATCTGTCAATGAGGTTGCTTCATGGTGGGATGGTTTGCTGTAGGGCTTGCCCAGGACTCGGAATGCAGGCAGAGGCTGGATGTCACTTCTCAGAGGTGCTGTAGTGAGGTGTTTTCAGAGGATGGAAGATTGGACTAGATAACTGTTACGGTCCATTTTGATCCAGTGCTGTTCCAAGAGTAGCTTTTCACAGGGATAAGGTATAGAAACGGTTTTTGATTTTTGCTTTGTTTTGTTTTGTTCTAAATTTTGGACATTTGCTGTAGGGTGTCATTCAGTCCTTTCTTTTACCAATATTCATGAAAACTTAATTAGAGATGAAAGCAACCCTGGAATACTGCCCACATTTGAACCTAAATTGGTATGGGTGGAATTCACCTGGTCTCCATATTCAATTATGTCCTGATACTTTAATTGATGAATAATAACCAAACTACCTCATGCAGTTGATTTAATTGACTGCCCATTGTCCAACTATAGAAACAATGGGCAAGTGGCCTCCACTTGGAGTGACATATGTTAGTAGATCTAATCTGTGAGCTAGATAATTGCAAGAAGTGCCCTCTGGCATCTGTGAGCCCATACAGGTTGGGGTCACAGATGTCACGGTCGGGTGGCATTCCCCAGCTGTCAGAGGAGCACTGTGCCTCATCTAACAGTGAACCACTAGCTGCTGCTGTTGACCACCCATTCAGTTTTCCTTCAGCATGGCGCACCTAATTCCTTACACACATTCACTCTCAGCTCCTCCATTTTTTTAGTGATAAGACCTGGGCAGTTATATTTATTTGAAGCTCCTTTTAGTCATTTATAAACAGAGATAATGATAGGACCACATCACAGGGCTGTTATGAGAATCAGCATATAAAATGCTTAGCACAGTGCCTGGTACGTAAGAAGTGCTCAATAAATGTTAGCCAAGCCAATGCCATTGCAGTGCTGTTGAAGTTCTGTTAGTAAGATGACCATCTGCCTTTATTGTTTGGGAAGTAAATTTTTCCATGAAATAGGACACAGAACCGTAGTAGCTCTGTGAGTAGCTATGATTCAAACCTCAGTTTAGAGGGAAACACTTACTTCACCCACAACTGTTGCTTACTCC